TATATTGTCAGCATGTCATAAGCTAATCATATTTTGCCAAAAGCTCATATAATCTAATTTTATGATACCACTCCCAGAAATCTCAAACTACCTACATAAGTTGAAATTTGTTTATTCATGCAAAGATATATGAGGGCTATCTGCACTAGCCATCCATTATTATAAAATGAAAGACTAAGGGAAGGCAGCTAGTCAACACCATCAACTCTTAAGCTACTCTTTTCAAACTGAATATTGGGATTTGACTCTCATTCTTTTTGCCCAAGACACAAAATCATAGAATAATGTACCTGCACTTCTTAAAAATCTAACTGCCCCTTATCACCCCACAGAACACACACATAAAAAAAGTAGAATACACCTTTTAGAGTTTTGTTTTTATTTAACAGTGAACACAATCACACAATGGCATTAGCAGCTCAATTCTGTCAGATATGGCAATACTACGTTCCACACCTAAGCTAGTGTTTCTCATGACCTCTTGGTTTCCAGGGGTGTCACAAGCTATCTGCACTGAGTATAAATTTTCTGAGTCCTCAAGATGTATGAGAGGTGCACATATCACCTTTGTTATGAACTTTGACAAACTGTTTTTTCATCCTTCTAGAGTCAATGTCATGTAACAATTGAAAAGCTTTTTGTAATTTTATGTTATATCGTATTCCTAGAGCTGGCAGTCAACTTTACTGGGTTCCTACTGCAGACAAAAGAAACATAATATTGTTACATTAATTTCAATATTTTTATTACTGTGCATGTGACTGAGAGTTTGTAAATCACAAAGATATGCATATTTGTGTATATAGTATTGGTTTGAGGTTCAGAGGCACACACTTTTAAATATTTGTGTGTATATGCTAGACATCCAGAATTAATAATTTTCCTAAACTCATGTGGCTCCCAAGAAATATAGCCCACGTTTTACTAGCAATAGAACAAATGATGTGAAAAAAAAAACTTGTCCAACAAGCAAAGTATTACAGTAAAACTTGATTTTCCTTGTATGGGATGGCAAGATTGTTTCAGAGGACTGATTAAGATCCCTGAAACTGTTTTCTATTGAATAAAGAAGAGTTATGGATGATATGATAGAACTGTTTACAATTATTAAGAGGATCAACACATTGATACATCATCATTTTTCACACTTCATGGTTGTAACTGTAGGACAAGGGGTCACAAATATAAATTTCGGCAGGGTAAGTCATCTTCAGCTTACACTGATTTACTTTTTTAACAAGATAATTGGCCTTTGAAATGGGTTGCCTTCAGGTGTAGTGGATGCAATAAATTTAAGAGAAGGCTTAATAAACATTTAAGTGAACAAGACTGAATTGGAATTTGTTTTCTTGAAGTGGATGAGATCTTGATGGACCAACAGACTCTTTGTTGTCCTTAAATTTTTTTATCTTGTTGTCTCAGTCATCAGGCTATATGGATTCCAGTCTGATCTAAAGCTTTTTTTGATCAATACATTAATAATCTTTAAGATTTGAAATGTGAAACGAAAATAACATATTCATGTGCCACTATGGTAATTGATTCTTTAATTCCTCTCTTTTTTAGTATTGCATTCCTTGTCAGCTACTTTCACCTTATTCATGCCAGTCTATACAACATAATCTCTCTATGTTTTTCTTTCTTTCTGATTCTGACATGGTGTTGATTTTCTCCGATATACTTTTTCTACATCCCATGTCACTCTGTACACTATATAGGTTGTGCCTTTACTTTCATCACACCATGCAAGTTTGGAGGGTTCTTAAAATAGTTTGGCTGTTCAAGGTTTTTCATAATCCTTCTTATTTTTTCAAACTTGGTTCTGGGATGTTTTTTTTTTAAAGATGAAATTGTGAAGATAGCTTTCTAAATTACATAGACATTTAATTTTATTCAAAATTCATCAAAGTGTATGAAACTAAAGGCATCAAATTATCTAAGTTTTGGAACCATCACAAATTTCTCTTAAAATATGAGAACCACAAAGTTATACCAAAATGTATCCATTTCAAAATTAAAATCAATACAAGAAATGCAAAAGTATAGTCCAACAAACAAAAGAAATCATTCTTAATGAGAGATTATTGTTATGTACAAGATCTGTTCAGATGCTGGTGAATTTTGTAACATTGACCAGATGATACTTTTCCCAACAGAATAAGATTTTAATAGTTCTTCTGAATGACAGTGATGTTAATTCAAATTAGAGATGCCAACATTCACGGCTGAATATAACATGTCTCCACCATGCAATCCCAACACGACCAACTTTGACACCAAAAAAATCAAAAACTGTTTATATCACTGCTTGGGACCTGGAAGAAGGTATCTTTGTACCAAATCCCACATAAGTTGATTCACATACACATAAATAGTTCACAAAAACTCCAAACTGTGCTTTCCTTGCTGTAAAAATTGAACAAAAGACAAAAATTCCTAAAGTATCTATATCTCTGTTTGAGACCTGACAAAAGTATCTTTATACCAAATCCCATGTAAATTGGCCAAAATGCAGTGAAGAATTGCCAAAAAACCCTAAAATTATGCTTTTTGTGGCATCTTGAATTCCCTATAATTAATATAACAAATTGCAGCATTAAGCCTCCCATATGTGGCATTACTTACATGACAGACAAAACACTACTGCTGTGGTTCCCAGAATAATAACACATAAAAACTGAGATGAGTTAATTATTAGTTAATAAAAACAATTTGTTGGGTAGATAGAATCTTTCAAAAATACGGGGTCTGTGGAGAAAAAAATAATAATAAAAGTGGTCCTTGGTGGTGAAAAGGTTGGGAACCACTGTACTACTGTATAGTGGTGCGAGTGATTAAAACAGGTGACCCCCTCCAGGCAGCCTTCGGTTTCCTTTCAGGAAAATGATTCTTTGCTTTCACTTATAAATTCTTAGAACTAGAAATTAAATACAAATAAAGAAACTAAGTGAACTAATATATAGAGAAAAATATATAGAGAATCCTAATGTGATTCCATTACTATTATTTACATAGTTTTTTAACTTATAGAAAAATTAATGCAAAGGTTTGTCTGAATTTTGCCATAATTAATCATTCCTAAATATTAGTTTCTAGTAATTATTTAAATATTTGCACTCTAGAGAAAATATTAATATTATTCCTTGGAAACCTGTGCTTTTCAAATGTTCTACTTTCAACAGAATTTGTTTTTCATTTATGATAATTCATTGTTAAAGCTAAAAACTTGTGAAATAAAAAAATCAGAAAACTTCACTGAAATGAATATTTACTTAATAATACATTAAATCCTATCTTACCATAAAATTTTTTTCAATTTAACAAATTTCTCTATATGTACAGATATTTTAACAAGTACAAAAGTTTTAGCATGATAGAAAAAGAACAAACATGAATCTCAAATAGAAACTTTAAAAGAAATCACACCTTTTAATACTCTACTTGTAAAGTTAGATAGACAGCTTACCAGCAAATCCCAAAGCAGCTAAAGCAAGACCAGCGAGAATTACTCCTGATGACTGAAAAAAAGAAGTTAAAACTGGATAAATAGTGCAAGTATTATACTATAAAATTGTAGGTGGATAGACTCATAAAATATAATAAAGATGCTTTTCAAGTAATACTTAACAACCACAATACTGTTCACAATATTTGTGGGATTATATTAAGCCAATCTATATCGAGTTTCACTGGCTAATATGTATGTATTGAACATTGTTCTGTTGTACATACATGTTGTAATGATAGTTTATACGTACATTTCTGTGCTTTTTATTTAATGAACTAACTATTCTATTAATCTTCACTCACTTTTGTAAATCCTCATGAGGGTAATTTTTGGTTATCTTGGTATTTCTTGTACGTGATGCTATTCTCATTGTTTGGATTAGCCAGTGATTGTTGTGATGATAAAGAGACATGATCAATTTATGGACATTGTACATATTATTAAGCTATTTTGTTAAAGTAATTCTTGTGTTTATATTTTCTGTTACTGTAACAAAAGCTGAAGTCTCAGAATTGCTATTTTCACAGTTGTTAAAATATATTTATAGTTTAGTAATAGTAATTTTAAAATGTGAAGTTATAAATATAATTACACATGTAAAATAGGTTAAAGATTTGATTGTGTTCCAGTCATCATTACTTTTTTTCAAGTAAAATGGCCTGGAGTATCAAGCTGGAAATCCAAATATATTTCTACACTGAGTCTTATTATGGCATAGTGATATTATTTATCTAGTGGTATGTAAAGGCAGTCCAAAGAAACAGTGACAAAAATATGGGCCACATTCTGATTTGTGACTGAACAGTTATGCAGAGATTGTTAACAACTTGCTTCTGAACATGATGTAAAGCCTAATTAATATTTATAATAATTTTTTTTTACAATTCAAAAAAATTGTTTATCCTATTTAGTGTCACAGATATAGTTGCCTGTACATTGGATAAACCAAAACTATAATACAAGAACTTTTCAACAACTACGAGTCTTCTTTCAACACAGAAAAAAAAATCTCTCAGTCAATGCAGACTTCTGTTTGCCTGAACATTCCACTGATGACCTTATTCAAACAAACAAAAAAAGAACGGAAATGGAGATCAACTCAATAGTGTGACTAAAGAAAATAATCTTGGCATAGTGGTAGATAAGTCTCTCAAGATACTGAAGCTGTGCCTTATTGTTAATAATAAAGCTAATACAATTTTTGGATGTGTGTGCCTCTCTTTCAATGTTGGCAGGTCACTAAACAGTGGGCAGGTGCCTGAGGATTAAAAGATCTGCTTATGTTACTCCTAATTTTAAAAAGAACAGTAATATTTGCCCTGGAAATTACATGCCAGTTAGTCTTACTTCTAATTTGTCATTTCTTTTCACGGACATTACTTATATGGACGATAGAAAGGGTGTGGATTTGGTGTAGTTAGATATCTCAAAAAGCTTTTGATAAGATGCTATACTAAAGATTAACTAAAAATGTCACATTGATAGGGGCAGGGGAAAAACTAGTTGACTGAACTGTAGAATAGTTGGATAAAAGAAAGCAAATGGTTATTATTAATAGTCAAGGCAAATTGGACTCTTGTTGCTAGTGGGGTACCTCAGGGGTCAGTAAGTAGGCTTTTTTTTATATTAACAATATTGACAGGAGCATAATTATCAAGTTAATAAAGTCTGTTGATGCCATTAAACTCTTGGTAATTTCTACTTGTATTGAAGACGTTCAGGTATTACAAAATAAATGAATTTCTGAAAAATAAAGGTTGGATGTATATGAACAGGTTTAAATAACCAAATAATCCCTTACTGTCCAAATATTAAGGATTACAGACAAATATATAATATGGATGATTGTTTTGTGTACAATAAACGTATATGTATTATGGTCAAAGGGATGTGATTTACCATACCTTACTTAAGCTTCATAGAAATTTGCACTGCAATTTGAGTCTTGAGCTTCACAAGCTCCTACCTAACCCTATAATTGATGCAGAGGCCTGCATCTTTGCCCTATTATTAAACATTTGTTATTTCCCTATAGTGCTAACTTATTTGAAGGGTTAGGTTATGTTTTAAAGCTTAAAATTGGGTATATTCATTGCCATCGTTTGTAGACTTTTAAACAACAGATGCACAACTTCTGTGCATATGGTCTTTCAGACACAAAACAAGTTTATGTTTTTACTTGGACTTGGCACCACCATACTATGTGGTGTGAAATGTGAATACTTACAAAGACAAAAGTAATCAAAGCAGCCTAATATATATACACACTCATAATACATATCAGATGCCTTTCTTGTATATAGCCTTTGAACTGTAGGTACACAATCATATATAGCCATTACTCACATTGCAAACTATTACTATTATACCAGCATTTATATTAATTAATTTTCAAAGTAAAATTAGCTAAATACTTACTTTCTAGCCTAAAATAAACAGTCTAGTCCTTTACGTAAGTATGAAATTTAAATTTAGAATAAATATATTTTGTTAATTGAAGTGTAATTAAGTAGGCACTTATGGTTTAGATGTATACCAATTTATAGTTGTATTTCTTTGACAGGTTGCTTCAAACACTAACTCTTTTAATAAAATATTTTTTCAAACTTAGATGGAACTGACTATTCGGAGTATTGCTCTGGTACCGTGTGTGGTAGTTGATTCCAAATATCGACAACTTTACAGTTTGAGAAAAATAATACTGTAATTTTTTAACAGTGGAATGGTGAAGTCAGCGCTTTAGGGATTCGATACATAATACTACTATTACTAGCATCGTTAACGGTATGGAACGACGTAGGGCTACGCACAACCCCACAGTTCAAGTTGTATTGTATGTACTATGATAGCTCTTACCTATACGCATAGTTAGGCTTAGCAACTATCATTAAGTATTAATCGTAATAAAACTACATCGTCTTAGATAAGTTAAATAACATTAACAATAACACCATTACCAAAATATCTAACCATTATTCACATACCATTTCAGTCTGATTAAGTTTTTACAAGCTGTACAATAATAATAATTAAAAAGGTCATTCATACAGAGGCAAAAGTAAACTCTATAAAATACAAAAGTCACGAGCGTGCAAACATCTCAAACCATGTGGAGTTTCATACAAACAAAAAATTAATATAGAGAGCGTTAAGATAAGTAACAATAATCAAATACAGTTGTTATGGCTGCCACACTATGCACGTTTTTTTCTCTTTACATTTACAATAATTACTAGTGTTTAGTTGAAAAGAAACTTTTAAATATGACTGAAGCAAAAATAAATTCAAATCATTTTCAGATTTCTAATGTAAACCAGTGGCATCTCTTTATATTGAAAATAAACAATAATAACACTAAATGATTTCAGTAAACTATTAACGGCCCTTTCGGTGCTATGATAAAATATCAATTTTATAAAAGTAGATGACGCACAAAATGATTATTTCAAATAAATAAATAATTCTTTCATCAATGCTACAGGTCTTTCTTTGATTATGTGGCCCCTTCCACCATGGCCCAGCAGAAAGTGTACAGATTTACGACGCTAGAAGTCGGATTTTGATACCCGTGGTGAGTAGAGCAAAGATGGATCACTCTGTAGCGGCCTGGTAGTTAGGACATTCGACTTGCAATCTGAGGGTTGCAGGTTCGAATCTACGTCGCCGAAAATGCTCGCCCTTTTAACCTTGGGACATTATAATGTGACGGTCAATCCCACTATTCGTTAATAAAAAAGTAGACCAAGAGTTGGCGGGCGGTGGGTGGTGTTGACTAGCTGCCTTTCCTATAGTCTATCACTTCTAAATTAGAGACAGCTAGAGCAGATAGCCTTCGTGTAGCTTTGCGAGAAATTCCAAACAAACCAACGACAACCAAATCAAACTTTGATTATATGTGAAGTGGATATACAAATACATAAATAACTAAAACAAATATTTCAAGTAAATGAGTTTTGTGTGTGTAGTTTTACATATTGCAGTATTAGTTAAGAATATTACTTTAGATTACAAAATAAAAGCCACACCCTAAATTAAGTCTATACAGGAAATATAGTTGCATTATAAATGGTCATTTAAATTTATTCTTTATAATGTAATCTAACATATGTTTAGAAACATTTTAGTATTATAAAGTCATTTTTGAATTCATTTTCTATGTATATTTACTATTATGAAAAATGCATTTTGTAATACATTGATATATATAAGGAAATGTATCTCAAAATATTAACTGATACGCAGAAACGAATTTAGAAATTGTATATGTACAGATAAATTAACTT